TTAGAGTTCCATGTGGCTTGCTGATAAATACAGGTACTTTGGTAAAATTAATTTCTGTGTCCTTTTGAAAATAAAGACCTGGAGCAACTTCATATTAAAACATTGCTAGAGGATTGTAAAGGGAGATTTAAAGAGAGAAAACTTGATTATATAATGCAATCCAGCAGTAATCAATTTTACCTTCATATCTTGCTTTTGTTTTCAAAATGCTAAATAAACAATACATAATGCATCCCCCATCAGCCAAACCATGGAGGCTCTGTGCTCAAATAACAGGAAACATATTCAATTTTCCTAACAGAAGACAGTTCATTAAGCTGTGCCACATCAAATAAAACTTTAATTTCTCCAGCATCAGAGTCGCAGTGAAAGCAATTGAAGAAGATGAGCCATATGGTACTTCTATCAGCAAACACATATTGCTCATTCCCCCAAAGTTTTCTAATTCTGCTCCCCAGACCTGTGTAATATAGATAATGTGCTCTGAGAGCAGCGACCATGAGCTATCTGGTGTACACTTCTAATACTGTATTTAATGGGAAATAATGAATCATAAAAGCCTAGAGAAGAGGGCTTTTGCTAACCTAAATCTCAGCTGTAATTTCATTGTTCTGTGCCTAAGATGCTGTTTGCCCTTTCAAACAACAGCAGTTGAACATAATTATGTCGCCCTAAACCTGGGCTTGAAAAAAGCAACCCCGATATAACCCAAGTTTCTATTAACTCCTGAAATTCTGAATTTAATGATGCACGGATATAGACGTTGGGTTAACAGAGCACGTGTCCTTTTCAAACCCAAATAAGCATTTTTCTTCGTCCCTCTGGTCAGGCTGCTTAATGCTTATGGGTTTCTCTGCTCACCTCTCTAGTCCCTGTTTGCCTCCACCCCACCCCATGCTACAGGAGTGAAATGATTAAAAATGAGCAGGTATTTTTTGTTATTAGCAAATTTGACATTTGCTTGATGAAATGCACATAAAATGCAAACACTCACAGGGTGCTCAGAAGTACTGTCTTCACTCTGAGGCTAGCTACCAAGATGAAACAGTTTAGGCAAAGGGAGCTAAAGACCCCCTTCCATCCTGACTTCACAATGCCAGGAGTGTTACCAGTGAAAGAATCACATACTGTGGAGCTTTTGGTGATGGTATTTTGACACCTGGGACGTGAGTAGTGTTCTCTTTCCACCTTTCCAGCTCTGACTTGGCACCTCAACAAAACGCACAGGTTAAAATGCAGCACTGTTCAGGTCATAGCCCCGCCTCCCTCGAGAAAGACCTTGGGGCCAGAGTTTTGCTCATTTTTGCAGAAAAATGTTGTTTTCCCCTCAAATAGGTTGGTGATTTCAGCTTTTCCATTTTTAAAGCTCATCAAATCAATATTTTACAAGCATGATGCTAATTTAAAACACCATCAGATAACACTGTGGATACATATTGAAAATGTATTTTAATGGTTTTGTTTGTTTGGGAATCATAGGAACCAAGAACAATTAAATTTAAAAGAGACTTTTAAAAGTTAGAGATTGCCTTTTTAGCACATATTAAAATCAGCACGTTAGATGCGTGTATCTGAATTAGCTCTGTGCACTTGATTGCCATCATTAAAAGTAGTTGCTTGGGTGCTGCTCAAAGCCGACTCTTACTATTAGTAATTTGAAATCTCTCCCCACTGAAAGTGAAAAAACAATTAGAAAAAGAATGGCTATAACTAGTGGAAGAAAGAGTCACTAAAACGTGTACTTGCCCATCAAAACAGCAACATTAAACCGCAAAAAGACCAACAGGTAACATCTGAAACACAGTCAGAAAAAAAATTACAGCAACAAAGAAGCAGTCCATTGATTATATTTCATGAATGCCTTAAAACAAATGTTTAAACAGTTTTCTAACAGTGCAGACAGCCTCTGCATGCTCCACTGGGTTGCAATGACAGTGGTCTATTGCAATGTAAAACACGCTGGAGGATGAAAAGGTACTTTCTGTTACCATTTTATCAAAGCTGTTCATCTTCAGGCTGCAGGCAGCATTTGCTGGAATTGCAGATATTTCTCTGTCCAGGCGCCTTTGTTTGTGCATCTCATTTGCATATATTTATCTCCAGCTGAGGGTGCTTTTTGCTCATTAAGGCCTCCCTTCAGATTATTTCATAAGCCAGCTGCTAAGAGGGATTTCACCTGTGGTGACTGAGAAAAGAAGGGTGAAAAACTAAATTCTTCATAAAAAAGAAATCTTCTGATTCTACTCCCCTATAAATGGGCACCTTTTGTGTTAAGCAGCCTCTTGTCATGATAGATGCCTCCAGAGGTCAGGGGTTAAAGTTGATTCGAAGGTCAGCAGTAAAACAACAGATAAACCAGACGCCAAACTGGTTCCTTAGCTGTCGGTGAGAGCTGTGGTACAACCGGGTCCTGAACCTTTTTCAACCTCTAATAAAACAGGGGATGAATCTGAAGTGGCCCAACCAGGCCCCCGAGGAAGCAGTGCAGAAAAACACAAATAATATCAGTATCAGCGGCGGGAACAATGGTGCATTTCTCCTTGCTGTCTGGATGCTGCCGTTGTTTCCAGGGCTGGGGAATTAATTCCACTTATTTATTTAAGGCGTGTCAACTCACTGCCTAAACCTGTTTCAGTGTCAAGATGAATAAAACTTTTATGGCTCATAAAATAGAACCATTCATCTCAATGTTCTTTGTGGTGCGTGTATTTTTTTCCTGGCGCCCTGAGCTAGGCCTGTGCTCAGAAATGGATGCTAGGAACCCACTGTTGGTATGATCCACATCATACTAGAGACAAAAATTACTTCACTGGCAAATGAATTTCAACAGAGATGATGCGGGCAGCCTGTCCGCTGCTGTGCGCTGCCCCAAGTCCTAAACACCCCGTGTACCACTGCCTTGTTGACAAAGCAGGAGCTTTGTGATTTTAGAGGCACGGTCACAAGATGATAGCAATAAAAAGCAAGTTTCCTACAATGTCAGGTACTTATTTCACTTTAGAAGTGCAGCCCAACCAGGGAAGCCTTTTGCTGCTCATCAGTTTTTGACACATTTCCTTGATTTTAACATATAATGACACACATAAATGATAAGGAAAATACATTTATGTGAATTTTGTACTATAAGTTTTTTTGAAGTTCGGCTATGGAGCTAGCTTTTCTTTATATTTCCCTGTGGCGACTGATTTCAATAATAGCATAGTACTGGGTGATAAGTTAACATTTGCAGCATCACATGCATTTCTCAGATTCAATTAACAGAAGTAACTGAATCAAGTCACATTATCTGCAACATATTTTAGTTACAATGAAATGTTGCAATCAAACAGTATCATAGCAGAATTTGGTGCCTTTAAGAGGAGTACAGTTGCCTTAAGATGGGTAAAAAGAAGCAACATGATGGTATTTTACAAATTTCTCCACCACACCCTCAATCACCGACATTGCTCTATTGCAATGTATGTTGATTCGTGGAGGATACGACCTGGAAGTGCTTCCTTTACCCATTTGAATATAAAGTAGTTGGTCTGCTAACTGCTTTAGTCCTGCTCTCCTTGTGGGCTATTTCTGATTTGTTGAATTGGTGGACAAAGATTTTCCCCAGCAATTAGTTTCTTTGGGAATGACTCCACACAGAATTTGTATTTTCACAGTTTGCCTGTGCACAGGTATAGCCCTAGGAAAGAGGGACCCAGTTTTGGGGCATGAGGAGCTGTGCAGAATTCAATTGCTCTTCCCGCCAAGCAGGCACTCAGAGGACAGGCTCCTTCACATAGAGATCCTGTCCTCTTTGAAAACACAACTGATTTAACTGCTTTCAACTGAACCATCAGGCCATAAGAAAAATATTTCAGCTCATAGCAACATGTTCTCATTTAAGCATGGAGCACGAAATTTCTTTCCATAACCAATTACAGTTTTAAAAAATGTAACTAGCCTCACTTCAGACAAGGAGCTCAACATGTGGTTGGAGAAATTTTCCGACTTATTAGAAAAGTTGACATAAGATATGTTGTTTATATCCTCATCTTTGTGGGCCCTTTGCCTTCCCAAAGCGTTTTATAGATCCCTCTGTAAGGGACTTACCAATTTTCTTCTGACCTTCTGCTTTAAATTTCACCCCACCTACCCCCAAACTCAGAGCCTCCAAGAAACTAGAGCAAAAGTACAGTCTACTCTCTCCAGCTCTGCACTCTGTCTCTCATTTTTCTTCCCTAATCTAATCACTAATTCTTAAGCTTGGCCAAATAGTTAAAAACGTTAAGTGCAAGCAAAGCCTTGGCTGCCCTCATATTTGTCTCTGTTTATGGAATGAGTCCCAGTCTCCTCCTGTTCTCCTGCAGCCTGGGGTC